CACAGGGAATAGTCAGGAGTCGTGCTCCGCTCTGACTAGAAGGCCAGGGAGAAGAAGTGTGTTTTTAGTGTAGATTTAAAAACCCCTAGGGTCTGGGCCGACCTCACATGGAGGGGCAGAGTGTTCCAGAGCCTGCTGGTCAGCAGACCTTAAAGCTCTGGCTGGGGTGTAGCGCTGGAGGAGTTCAGCTATATAGGCCGGAGCCAGCCCATTTAGTGCTTTAAAAACAAATAAAAGGAGTTTAAAATCAATTCTGAACCGAACTGGAAGCCAGTGCAGTGAGGACAGAATTGGGGTGATGTGGTCACGCTTTTTGTGGCCAGTCAGCAAATGTGCAGCTGCGTTTTGGACTAGCTGCAGGCGTTTAATTACAGTGTACTCTAACTTATTCTGAATATCTTATTGTGTGTCTACCATAGAAACTCTGGAGGTAAGTATATTGTTGATGTTTATATGCATATCGTTTTTTTTTTTAACCTGTTAAGCTCTGAGCCTGTTTTTCAGGTCTTAGGCTCGAAAATGACATTCCCAGAACAAATGACCATATCTTCCCTTCTAAAAGGGTTAAATTAATAATCTTTATTCCCAAAGTAATGATAAACCTGTGTGTTGGATGTAGAAAAGTCAGAATCAATATAGATGTTTTTTATTTTAAAGAAAATTCAGATTTTACATAGTAAAAAACTGTAAAATAGTGTCTGTACAAAAATTATTTTTTACTTATAGTAAAAACTACCCTTGGATGATGGTAAGGTAGACTAAAAGCTTTAGGAATCCAAAGTACAACATATAATAAGTATTTTTTTTTCATATCTCTGGAACCCATTGGTCGATTTTGATGGTTGACACCTCTTTCTGACCGTTAGAGCCAATAGAATCGAAGGGGGAGTCCCCCACACACAGTCATTGTGAAACAAAAAGGAGGGGGCTTCGCGCATGCAGGTTCGTATCAGAGTGAAGCGATCTCTCGCTCTGACATCTGGAAACGAAAAAGCAGTTTTATTGCTTATGGATTATCAGAAATAATTTCAAAGAGGGCACAGACACATTGGATTAACCTATGGATTAACTGCAGCAGCGTTTTCTATCGTTTTAATGCCATTGAAGACCAGTTTTGACCAAGGTAAGCCATGTTAGCGTTTGTAGCTACCTAGCGCCACAAGTTTTGATGTACGTTTTCGTTTATAGCGTCGCAAAAGTTTATCACCGAGTGTTGAGGTGGGCACCACTAGATTCAGTGTCTCCAGGAGATGCTAATCGATGGGTTGGCTGTGCATTTAGGATAAGTAATAAGGGAGTTATGAGTGAGTTTAGGTGCAGTGATAGGTTAGCATTTTTTCACTCGTGGCTAATTCAGAGGCTGAGTGTCAGCATTGTGTTTTTTTTTTGGATTTAAAAAAAAAAAAGATCAGTTAGCTGAGTTTCTTCCCGTTACATGGATATAAAACATTCATAGTTTATTAAATATTAAGATTCCTTAGACGTTGTTTCCTGCAAATGACGTGTTTATCCGCCCGGTACCGGGGGGGGCAGTGCGTCAGAGGTTAATAATAGTTTGAACTTGTGTGCAATGCCTTGTTTATTACATGTTTCTGCAGCTGCAACTAAATATATAAGTAAACCTAATCTCATCTAAATAAATCTTCAATAATAAAGAGCAGAAAGAATGAAACTTAAAAAGGCTAATATAGATTAAGACAGGTATAAAAAGCAAGAATACGAGTTACAATTCAGCGTTCGATTTGAAAAAGTATTTTATTTATTTATTTTACACCATAGACTGTATATATAAATGGACGTAGGGTCCGTGACGTCACCCATAGGATTCTGCAGAGTTGCCGAGAAGCCCTTAGTAGGCGGAGTCGGCCACTAACGGCTCGACAGTGACGTCTGAGTCTAACTCCCTGCTTCTGCCTCCAGCTGGGAAGTAACAGAGCTAGCTCAAGCTAAGAAGCTAAGCTAACATGCTTCCCCATCAGCACACTGCCGTCACATTTTACGTTTCTAAGGTAAGCGGACATGAAACTATTCAGCAAAACTATAAATAATAATCTAAGTTATTGAGTTTTTAGCATAATACTTCAGAATCTTAAAATCCCTTAACGTTTGTATGCAATGTGCTAAATGCAACACTGGAATCAAGCAAATATTAATATGTTTGCATGACATTAGTTATTTATATTTTGCTATCACTTAATTATACGTTTAATACATTTAAGTTAAGCTAAGGTGCATGTGATGGTAGCTAGTTAGTGCTCTTACCTGTGAGGCCTCCTCCAAACAGCATTATAACCAGACTGTATCATTAAAACTATAAGTACCAGTTCTAGATCCTTGACTTTAGACAAACAATTCAAAAGACAAAATGTATTTAAAGACCAATCTTTATTTGAAGGTGCCTCTTAACCTGGGATATTAGTTATACAGTAATAGTATTGACAATCTAAAAAAACTGAGCAACTCAACAGTTCACTTTATATTTCTTATTGTCTAAAGCATTTATTATTTTCATTTTCCCCTCTCATATTCAGTGTGGACGGATTGAGACAGCGTGGTGTCCAGAGAGCTGCAGAGACTTCAGGGAGAAACCTCCGTGTGATGGACGTCCAGTCTGTTGGTTTGGAGAGGACTGAGGGTCTTTCCTCTGCGAGGAGGACCAGGCCTGATGGAGGAGCCCATGCTGGGCATAGCTGATACCAACTGCACAGGCCTTGTCTGTCACTTTATTTGACTAAATGTGTTTACTTATACATTTAATAGGTTTACACCTTCTGTCCATATGTGCTTTTTATTTAAAACATGTTTGATTCACTTTTGGTTCAGATTTCAATAAATTGAATTTGTATTTGCACTCCTTTTGTCCATTATTCTTACTGAAAATGTTAGATTACACATTCACATCCGACTGAAGATTGGCCCCATTTATTTGCGTTGCAAACTCTGCGGTACAAGGTACATGTTGTGAAGCTCATAAAGTGAGGCAAATAGAAATAATCAGCTGATGGAGTGTAGATGTGGAAATAGGTGCATTCGATCAGCTGACTTCACAATAAAAGTAGTTTCTTAGTGAATGTCCTGTACTGGTCTTAAAATCTCATAACATCAGCTTTTAATTTTCCTCTTGGATGTTCTTCTTGACCCTCAGAGAAGGAGAAAATGTTGAGTCGTGTCTTTCAGGCATGTCCTTTCCTAACAAAAATGACAGGAAACATAAAGCATATTATTGCAGAACAAGTGTGTTATTTATGAAAGAGGTGTGTTTGTGTTTAGGGGCTGTAGATATAATTATTTTGTAATTGTAATGTTTTATTTCAACAGTGAGCTACAAAGACAATCAGATTATGAATGAACAGTATGACATTCATCAACATTGAAATATATTTTATTATCAAAATAATATTTAACTGTTATCAAAACTTAGTGCAACTGTAGAAGCTTGCTCTGTTCTCTCACTGAAATCATAACTTTTACCACGTTTTTTACAGACAATATTGAGAGATAAATAGCAGTTGTCACTATGTGTTAAATAGCTTTGCCTTCAATACCTTAAATTAGAAAGCTGACAGTCATATTGCTTGTTAACATCTAAATGTAACCCTTTGCATGGAAAAAACCCTCAACTTCACTGATGTGTAGGTGATCTAGTATTTAGTATTGTTTAATGGAATGTATATCAGTGTATTAAAGTCAATACTTCATTTATTTAAACCAATATCTTTCTTGATTCTTTGTACAGTATGAAAAAAGAGTATTTGTACCTGTGCTGAAGTTCACTGCTGTGAGGAGTCCAGTTCTGTCTCTCACTCTCTGGTCCATCCTGTCTGCATCACCTGGAAACTTTAAACAAACAGATATATATGTAAAGAACCATGTGTACAAACAATATAACTTATTCTCTTCTGTTGAACATGTTGGATTGTGTATTGTCCGAGTCAGGGTTCTTTTTATTTTACTGTAACTTTGGAAGTTGTGTTACCAATGCTGTTGTGTTACTGTTTATTTGATACCAATTTGGTAATGCAATTAATAAAAACAACAACGTTTGGGTTCGTTCTTCAGATGACTGTGACGTTAACGTGTAAGCTCAATAATGAACTCCAGCTCAACCAACCATATTGTAATATCTAAGTAATCATCTTGAAATATGACATTAATAATTGTAATATACACACATCTTATTGTGAGGTTGATTTCACATACACTACTTCGACGTTAGCTTGTCTACATACTTGAGCATAGCCAATTTAAATTAACCTTAGCGATGCATACAGTTCCTACCTACATAATAAAATATCTCTCTAAGTTACAAGGATGACCTTATTTTATCAACCTCAAACAGAAGCCGTTTGTTCTACAGTATTATCCCACTTAACGCTTAACACTTGTCTATTTCGTTTTAACCTTTATATATACAGTCTATGGTTTTAAGTTAACTTGGAGGATACGATTAGCATCGTTAGCACCGATGTAGCTACCACTCGCTTACACGCCAACCCAAGCCTTAACATTCATTACGTAGCTGATTGAAATCATAAACACATAAATAAAGTACTCGAATTTCACTTACCGCAAAACGGCATTCATGCACCGTCTGTTTTAACCGCAGAGCGAGTCACAATAGTTCGATATATAAGCATGAAGAACAAACAAACACGGCCGGGATCAAGTTGTGTTCCCTAGATGAACTGCCCAGGCAGAGTCCCTGTAGCTTCACGGACGGAGCAGCTAGCAGAGAGACAAAAGCTAACAGCAGCAGTCACCTGACAGAGCTGTCACTCAATGTGACCACGCCCTAATTTATGCAAAAACTTTAAGACCTAATATAAATAAAAGGGTCGTGTTAGAAAACAATTCACTCACAGATCCATAATCATGAAGGTGGAATCTAACTATATTCATAATAATATTTATTGGATCCATAGGTAGAAACATGTTTTTTTAGGCTGTGAAATTGGAGTTTGCCGCTTGTTTTACACCAACAGAGAAACACATGAGCCCGTACTACAGTTTCAAAAAGCAGGAATAATCCTAAAATTCCATTTTAACTCTGAACTCCAAATGAGCTGATTGTAATCTGTAAACACAAACAATATGCAGGAATGTGAGTCTGTTTCGAAGGCATTTTTCTTTTATATAGACATTTATTTATTAGGATAAACCCCTTGAGATGCACCATCTCGTTTTCAAAGGGGTCCCGACAGATGCAACAACTTACAGACATACATGAACAAAATAACAGAAAGCCAAACATGACAAACCACGTACGTACAGTACGTATGAGAGCTATGCGCACGTAGTTTGTCCAAAAGCAAAACCTATCTTGCGCTCTGAAATCTGAAAACTGAACATTAAACGTATTCAAAACTTCTGTTGATAAAGATGGAGTTTAGATGAAGTCATGTATGAATATTGTCAAACAGAGTTTATACAGCCAGACAGATTTTTCTCATGTGAATTGTCGTGGTACTAATTAATTGTCCTCTTTTTTTGTTGCACATGCAGATTTGACTTGTCAGGTTCAGAAGAGTCTCCAGGGTTGTCCTCAGTCTCTGGTTGTAAATGTCTCTCTGGATCTGAGTTCCTGGCTGGTTCTGGTCCCCCACAGTCCTCTCCATCAGCTTCTGTTTCCATGTGTTCAGCTGAGCTGCTGGCTGGAGGCTCTGCCTCTCTGTTCTCCTCAGTCTGAGTTTGATGAAGCTGTGAGGACTGACGACCAACACACTTATGGATTTTGACCTGACAACTCCAGGTGAATCTTTTGTCACAGACACTGCATCTGTATGGTTTCTCTCCTGTGTGGATTCTTCTATGTGTCCTTAAATGTCTCTTTTGTGTAAAATCTTTTTTACAAACTGAGCAGCTGAATGGTTTCTCTCCTGTGTGGATTCTCATGTGGTACTTTAAACTTCCCCTAAGTGTAAAATATTTCTCACAGACTGAGCAGCTGAATGCTTTCTCTCCTGTGTGGTTTCTCATGTGGTACTTTAAACCTCCCCTATGTATAAACGATTTATTACAGACTGAGCAGGTGAATGGTTTCTCTCCTGTGTGTATTCTCATGTGGCACTTTAAACTTCCCCTAAGTGTAAAATATTTCTCACAGACTGAGCAGCTGAATGGTTTCTCTCCTGTGTGGTTTCTCGTGTGGTTTCTCATGTGGTACTTTAAACTTCCCCTATGTGTAAAAGATTTATTACAGACTGAGCAGCCGAATGGTTTCTCTCCTGTGTGGTTTCTTATGTGTAGTTGTAAAGATCCTTTCCGTGCAAATGTTTTCTTACAGACTGAGCAGCCGAATGGTTTCTCTCCTGTGTGGTTTCTTATGTGTAGTTGTAAAGATCCTTTCCGTGCAAATGTTTTCTCACAGACTGAGCAGCTGAACGGTTTCTCTCCTGTGTGTATTGCCATGTGCCGATTTAAATGTCCTCTCCGTGCAAAATATTTCTCACAGACTGAGCAGCTGAATGGTTTCTCTCCTTTATGGATTTTCGTGTGTTCATTTAATTGTCCTATTTGTTTAAAAGAATTGTCACAGACTGAGCAGCTGAATGGTTTCTTTCCTGTGTGTATTCTCATGTGTCGATGTAAAGATCCTTTCTGTGCAAAAGATTTCTCACAGACTGAGCAGCTGAATGGTTTCTTTCCTGTGTGTATTCTCATGTGTCGATGTAAAGTTCCTTTCCGTGCAAATGTTTTCTCACAGACTGAGCAGCTGAATGGTTTCTCTCCTGTGTGGTTTCTCATGTGTCGATGTAAAGATCCTTTCCGTGCAAATGTTTTCTCACAGACTGAGCAGCTGAATGGTTTCTCTCCTGTGTGTATTGCCATGTGCCGATTTAAATGTCCTCTCCGTGCAAAAAAGATCTCACAGACTGAGCAGCTGAATCGTTTCTCTCCTGCACTACATCTTGAATCACTGACAGGGTCTTCTTTATTTTTTTGAGAGTTTGATCCTGGTTCTCTGGTCTCCTTCCAATCAGTACTGTCTTCAGTGTCTTCAGAAGAGTCTCCAGGGTTGTCCTCAGTCTCTGGTTGTAAATGTCTCTCTGGATCTGAGTTCCTGGCTGGTTCTGGTCCTCCACAGTCCTCTCCATCAGCTTCTGTTTCCAGGTGTTCAGTTTGTCTTTGATGAAGCTGAGAGGACTGAGGTTTCTCTTCATCATCTTCACTCTTCACAGGGACAGGAGTGAATGTGGACTTGGTGATATCAGCCTCCTCCAGCCCTTGAAGCTGCTCTCCCTCCTGACTGCTCCAGAGTTCCTCCTGTTCCTCTTTAATGTGTGGGGAGGGCTCTGGGTCCTCCTGGTCCAGACTGGAGCTCCACTCCTGCTGCTCAAGGGGGAACCTCTTCTTTAACCACCACCAGCTGCTGGACGTCTGCAGGAAACAGAAAACACATATTTATCAGATTCAGAATCGGTCATATTTACAAGGTGTGTTTACATTTACGAGGAATTTGCTTTAGTATATGTGGTGCATGAAAAGAGACAGAAAGAAGAATCGCAGCAAAACAAAATACATTTTCTTTTGTATGACTGTTATGTTTGAGAGAAGACGTTTGGCGGACAAGCTTCCGGTGAAAGAGCAGATCAACCTGATATTGCTATCAAACAGCAGGCAAGTGACAAATGGAAGCCGTATGTGCGAGGCTTCTCTCGTAGCTGGTACACCAGAAGCCTGGCTGGATGCAGTCATGCTAATGCCTTATTCTGCCTTCCTTGCTTGGTTTTTAAAACAACGGGGACAGATGCAGCATGGACAACAACTGGAGTGAGGGATATGAAGCACCTGTCTGAGAAAGTGAGGAAGCATGAGAACACCAGAGCACGGTAATGGATGTCTACGGGAATGCACACTACGTGCACTGCTATGCGCATCAGCTGAACCTCATAATGCAGCAGGCAACATCACACATCCCCAGAATTGGCACTTCTTTCCAGACATTGGTGGATTTTCTGCCTTCTTCTCCAGGTCACCCAAGCGAACCGCAGGGCTTGACCAAGTGGTGGCGCAAAGACTCCCCAGAGCTTGTACAACACGGTGGCTTCCACAGTCGCGCAGTAAACACTGTGGGTGTTTCTCAATCGCGAGTACGCTTGCTTGGTAACACATGTCTGCCGAGCATCTTGCTTCAGAAGCGAGTCAAGAATACTTCCTGGCATTCGGAAAACAAAGAGTGGAACACGCTAGCAAGTGTGCGTCATATGAGAGGCCCCGCCTTACATCTTCCGCCACAGATTTGGGGAAATTGGTCCGTGCGCAAAGCATTGTGGGGATTTTAAGACCGCGGAGTCTACTCATGTGCAGCCTCGATATTTCTCCAAACGGAGTACGCCGGGCTCGGTAGATTTCCAAGTATGCTAGAGATTGGAACAGTACTTCGGCGGCACTCGATGACGTAGTATGCTTGAAATAGTGGCTCTGAAGCAGCTTTACTCGCGATTGAGAAACACCCCCAGTATGAGCAAAAGGATGACCTCCTAAAGTGTTTACAGACCATCAGGGAGGACTCTGTGAACTTTGATCCTGTAACTGTCAGAGAGGCTGGTGGCTTTGTGAGGATGCTTGAAGACGAGGCTTTCTGTTCTGTCCTGGCATTGTTCCACCAGATCATGCCACACGTGGACATCGACCCCGTCTTCATTAGTCGAGAAGTTCACAGACAGCATGCAAACGAGCAGGTAAATAACTATATTTTGGCAGACAAAGCTTTTAGAAAAAATCAGTTCCTCACTTCCAACAGTCTAAATGTGCCATGTCATCAAAGTGAATGAATATCATGTATCACATCACAATTATATTTGATTTAGTATTTAAAAAGGAAAGAGAAGACACTCAGATTTGGATAATAATGCAGGTAAAGTAGTTAATAAACAGAGTTGGTAATAACAGGCTTATTCAGGGTCCACCAGGTCAATGTCTGGAGGAGGCCTAGTTGTTATTGATTCATAACTGACAAAAGTAAAAAATAAATAGTTTAAAGTTAATGATATACATGTACTGTAAACAACAATGAGTATATTGCACACAATAGCCGCGTTCACACCAAGTACTTTCCTGTACTTAGTTCCGGCACTCAGTGCCCCGGCGCTTTTTACCCCAGGGCACTTAGTACAGATCGCGTTCACACCGGAGTACTTTTCCATGAGGGAAGATTACGCAAATGAGCCGCTGACGTCACTTCTTCTTCTTCTGCTTTGGCTTTACTGGCAGGCCACAAACCACTTCACGGCGAGTACAGTAGGTGGCGGTATGCACCTTAAAGTTGTTTGCAATCCGCTACAAAACAAGAGAAGAAGAAAAACTTCCCGCGTATACTGCGACGCCCACCCACTCGCTGTACATTAGGCGTCTGTTGTTTACCTTCCGACCTCAGACATGATGGAGATGGAGTCGACTGAAGTTGTGCTGTTTGTGCTCATGTTATACAGCTTTGTAACTGAGTTAATGCAGCCTGAGCAACTTGCGTACAATAACAAAACAAGCCGAGCACGAGTGGTGGTGGAGAACGCTTTTGGCAGACTGAAGGGCAGGTGGCGGTGCTTGATGAAAAGAAACGACTGCAAGATGGACAAGATCAAAATCCAGGTGGCAGCATGTTGCATATTACATAACCTTTGTGAAAGTAATGAGTACAGGGACGAATGGACTGCCTTACCGGCGACCCAGCTTGATGGGCCAGCCACGCGCACAGCCCTTATGAGGCATCTGAACAGCGTGTAAACTGTACATTGTAAACATTTTGACAATAAAGCTGATCTTTTGTACAGTGCTTTTGTTTCTCTCTTTTATTTTCCAGTCAAGACAGGCAACATTACAATAGTGTACAGTGTGGCAATATAATAACAATAAACTGTGCCAGGTGTGTTGTATGCACAGTAAATAGGCTCAGCAGCAAACCCACCTTTATTATATATATATCTTCCTGAGACCCACTGCATCCGTCTGCCATAAACACTATGGAAACCTACATGTTAGTTTCGGCCCATAGTGGACTCCATTTTGTGTTGTGTAAAATGGGGGGGGGAATTAAAAGTTTGCAAATCCCCATGTCCTCCTCAGAGGACAATCATAAAAACATTTAGTTTTAGGTAAAATAATATTTAAAATGATATAAATTATCATATGTGTGTATGTGCCCCTGCCATTCCTCCACAAGGTTGCAACATTGATGATAAATGACAAATAAAGCTTTGCCAGTTTATAACCGATGAAACATGATGGTATCAGAATAATCACTTACATGTGATGTATAGGATGCTACACAGGTCACTAAAGATAAAGTGTCAGGAGAAATAAGCAAGATACAGGATCTGTTTAACAGTAAATAGAAGTTCACATTTTTAATGTAAATAAAATAGAAGTTGTACATGTAAGTTAACATTATCAATATAAAATAAAGTGTCAGTTGTATCAAGACTATATAATAACAGTAATAACAATAATATAAAATGAACTGGTGAGCATCTTGTCCTCCGTATCCTGGGCCTTGGTGAACAGCACCATCTGATCCCCGTGCATCGACTCTTTCACCACGGCACGCCGGTCCTCCAACGCCTGGACGGTGTCAAAGAAATTCACATCCTGTGCCCGCTTTCCTAAGAGGGAAAATAAGCAAGATACAAGATCTGTTTAGTCGCCATGTAGTTTTACAACATACTAGTGTGTGTGTGTGTGTAGCTGCCGCTCAAAGTGCCCTTCTTTATTGTTTTGTATTTTTGAAGAGTGCTTCATGTATGCTTGAACTTTGTTTAATTTTGTTGAGGCAAGTTTTCTTACCGGAAGTCATGTGACCTCTAGCCCGGATGTTTACAATGTTTGTGAGAGAGTAAAAAGGCGCGAACATTTGTAAATGCCGGTCTAGGCGAATACGTTTTCACGCCGTTTCATAATTGTTCCAAGAAGGAAATAAACATGATTGTGAACATCAGTTCGATGCGTAACGTTCTTTCAAGACAAAGTTACAGTGTGTGTACCTTTGCGTTTGGTTGCTGGTAAGGGAGACGACCAAGAACTGTGATCTAGAAGGCAAAGCTCGCTTGTTTCCAATCCCGAGAGTTGTCCATCCTCGCCTGAAACAGACGATTAGTGCCATGAGTTAGTGAAGCAAATTACAGAAACACTGCACAGTTATTCACAAGTCAAAACGTTTTCATAGCGGCCGAGAATATCTAGCTAGCTAGATGTAGCTAGCTTGGGGCCGGTGTTAGCCATTTCAGCCTAGCATAGCTAGCTTGATCTACTGAGCAAATAAAAGTACATCTGAGACCATTATTGTGCAGATTAAAACCCCAGTGCATGTAGTTGATTTTACCTTCGTCGTGGTCGTCATCGTTGGCCACTGAATCCGCCGTTTGTAGTCCTGCCTGAGTTTATTTATTTTTAGCCGGTATGCCGTGGCACTGTGCACGATTCCCAGGTCGAGTGAAAGCTACTGAACTGGCTTCAGTAGCATTCCCTGGGTCGCGTCCTCGGCGTAGATCTCCAGAAGCGCCGACACCTCCTCATCACTCCACCGCTCCGATGATTTCTTGATGCTTGCCATAACTGTTTTCAAAACCAAACTACTCTCCGTCGGTGCGCTGGGTTTTTGTAGCGAGGAAAAACAATGGCGGCTCTACACAACATTTTCACAGTTGTACGGGGCGTGGTTTGCAATTCGCCCAGCCAATCAGCACTGGGGCACTTTTTTCCCCAGGAAAGTACGATCTCTCAGCGGGCACTAAAAATGGGGGTAAAAGTTCCCGAGATTAAGTACTCTTTTTGGTGTGAACGCGACATAAGGGGTACTAACGGAACTAAACGCGAAAAGTACGGTGAAAAGTACTCCGGTGTGAACGCGGCTAATGAATATAATTGCACATTAATGAGTTTGATGGCAAGTCAGCAACCTAAACTTGATATGTTTTGGACCAGGGCCTCCATTTCCTCTCTGAGTGCGGACAGTGCATCTGACCAGCCACAGGAGCCCATCGAGAGAGGAGGACGCTGGGAGCAGGAGAACAGAGGCTGGCTACAGACGTAAGTTGTGATCTGGCAGTGTTTGCCCTAGAATATTTTTCAGTGCTTGTGGTATGTAGCCAAAATAAAACCTAAACTGCACACAGGATGGCATATTACATCAATGGTCGAATGATGGAGCAGGCAGTCTGCAATTTATATATTGGCATTCATATTTTTGTTTACTATTTTTGTAGATTCCAGGTTTATGTCAGAGCAGTCACAAAAAGGATAAGGCATCCTCACATGCAACAGAAAATATGTGGTTTATTTATTGAAAGCCAATGTAAACCTTGTTTTGTTGTGGAAACCAAAAGAGAGTTAAAGATCAGGAGAAGGAAACATGCTGTGAAGTACAATTAGGAGTAATGGTGTTA